GAAAACTTATTTTCATGCATTGGAATTAATTCATTTAGCATTTATCGATATAGTTATGTAAATTGTGGCTATGTACAAGTGAATTGGTGGTGGAAACAAGAGGCAAAGCGGTAGTTGAGGCTTGAATTATGTTCGTGGCATCGAGGTAAGTGTTTGGTCTAACCTTAGCTTGAGGGATTAGGAGTTGTTTCTTATTTGCTATGTGTTAATTGTTGAGTATGACGTATAGGCATGGTGATGAGTATCTATACGTCGGTGTCAACCATGGCCGTGAGTCTTATACTATGATGAATGTGACTCCGTTTCGTATTATTTATGCTTATATGATGAAATGTATTGTTGAACAAGGCTTGTGGAAGTATTATCGGTAATTGAACATTTTAGAGTGTTGGCTCGAGTTGTGAATTGTGTTGTGGAAGTATTATTGGTTATTAAGAATTTTAGAGCGTTGGCTCGAGGTGTGAATTGAGTTGTGGAAGTAATATTGGTAATTGAACATTGTAGAGCGTTGGCTCAAGTTGTGAATTGAGTTCTGAAGTAATTGTGAAAAAGAAAAGAGATTAATGGTATGATCTCCCTTGCCGGGATGTTATTATTTTTGATATTATCTCGCTTGTCGGGATGTTATTGCTTTTGATATTGTTTTTCCCTTGCCGGGATATTGTTGTTATGCTATTGTTCCCTTGCCGGGATTCTATTATGATTTTATTGATTCCCTTGCCCGTATTGCTTTGTCATTGTTGTTTGGGTAAGGAAGAGTGTAAAGCACGAAGGGTGATGCAGTGCATGATATTTGTGAGAGAGTGTTAATGTACGAAGGGTGATGCCGTGCTGATATTGTGAGGTAAAAGTACGAAGGGTGATGTTGTGTCGCACGATGTTCAATGACGTGCCATGATATGAGTGATAATGCACGAGGGATTATTTCATGCCATGATTATGTGAGGTAAAAGCACGAAGGGTGATGCCGTGCTGATTATATTGAATCTTATGGTGAGACAAGAGTAAAAGCACGAAGGGTGATGCCGTGCACTTGCCCTTGATTTTCCTGATTCTTGTTGATAATTGAGTTATGATGTTCTTTACGTTTATTTATTGGTTTTCTGTGGTTACTTGATTTTATTGTGATGTATTGATTCTGCCAATTGCTTTGTGATTGTTGCTTGGGTGAGGAAGAGTGTAAAGCACGAAGGGTGATGACGTGCATGATATTTGTGAGAGAGTGTAAAGCACGAAGGGTGATGCCGTGCATGATATTTGTGAGAGATTGTAAAGCACGAAGGGTGATGCCGTGCACTTGCCCTTGATTTCCTGATTCTTGCTGATAATTTAGTTATAGTGTTCTTTACATTTATCTATTGGATTTCTGTTGGTACTTGATATTTCCCCGCAGCATGTTTCCCCTTCCCATCTTTAACGACTAGTTTATGTCAATATTACTTGTTGTATGTGATATAACTGCACAGGTTTAATTGGTAGTCTTGTCCTAGCCTCGTCACTACTTCGCCGAGGTTAGGCTAGACACTTACCAGCGCATGGGGTCGGTTGTGCTGATACTACACTCTGAACTGTGTGCAGATCCTGGTGCTGTAGCTTTTGGACCATAGTGAGGTTTCTGCCTTAAGTCCAGTGGCGGAGACCCGATGTAGTCCTGCAGGCGTCCACAGGCCTTGGCGTCTCCTTCTATCTTTCCATACTGTTTCTTTTATGTACTTCAGAAACAGCGTTGTATTTATTCTTCGGACCCTTATTTGTAGTATTCTTAGACAGTCTGTGAGATTGTGACACTAATTCTAGGTAGCTTATGTTTATGGATTAGTATCAGCATTATTATTAAATTGTTACATTTCATTCTTCCGCTTTATTATTTTCGTTGTTTATATAATGTTATTCACAATTGTTAAGGGATTAAAAATGAAAAGGGTTAAATAACTGGAATAATTAGCTTGCCTAGCTTTCACTAGTAGGCGCCATCACGATTCCCGAGGGTGGAAAATCCGGGTCGTGACAAGCTACAACGTTAGTTTTATGAAAGAAGAAATAAAACAGAAGGAACTTTTTATGACGTTTCTTGTTGGGTAGAAGAAGAATTGAAGAAAAGATAAATTTAGCATTTACTTTGAATGTAAGTATTATGTTCTTTGTTTAGCTTATTATTTAATGATAATTTAACATAATATACTTTCTTAGAATTTTTCAACATTGAAGGTCTTCCATGTTGATTCATGGCGTTCTAGAGTTGAGGAAGAAGGAATTACTTTCTTGGTGGACTTAAACAAAAGAACATGTGATTGTTTTCAGTTTCAATTTGATGAATTACCATGCATACATGCAATTGCAGCTATCGAGAAGAGAAACATCAAGAAGTCCAACTTTTGCTCGCACTGGTACTTAAAGGAATCTTGGCTGAAAACATATGAAAGACAAATACATTCTGTAGGACATATTGATTCTTGGATTGTACCAGAGAGTGTTAAGACACAAATTATTAAACCTCCAGATTTCAAAGTGCCACCAGGTAGAAGGCAAAAGAAAAGGCATATTCCAGCTACCGAGTCATCAAAAATAACATTCAAATGTGGTCGTTGTAGAAGAATTGGTCATAATAGAACAGCTTGTATATATTCTCCGGCAGTCCATCCATTTTCAAGGAAGCATAGAGAATAGTAGATATATCCACTTATGTTTATCTACTCTTTTAAGTTTTTGCCATAAATTGGATTCATTTAGATTATTCTTATTTGAGCAGATGTCTGAATTTTGAAAATTTCTTTCTTCTTACCTTGTTTTTGTTTCTTTTGAGTTTAAAGATTAAAGTTAAGTACAGGAGTCCGTAAGTTCGACTTGCAATTTCAAAACTTAAGGACAGTCTGTCTGTATGTCCTTAACTTTGAGTTATAAGTTCAAAACTTAAGGACAATGGTCCTTAAGTTTGACTTGCTAGTTAAAAAGTTATAGACAGGAAGTCCTTAACTTATACTTCAAATTTGAAAACGTAAGGACTTCTGTCCTTAACTTTCATTTAAAAGGTTAAAAGTTAAGGACAGGAAGTCCTTAACTTATAGATTCAAGTTTAAAACTTAAGGACTGTATGTCCTTAACTTTGAGTTTTATGTTCAAAACTTAAGGACAACGGTCCTTAAGTTTGATTTGCTGGTTAAAAAGTTAAGGAAGTCCTTAACTTATATTTCTAAGCTGAAAACTTAAGGACTCTTGTCCTTAACTTTGATTTTAAAGATTAAAAGTTAAGGACAGGAAGTCCTTAACTTATAGCTTCAATTTTAAAACTTAAGGACTGTATGTCCTTAACTTTGAGTTTTAAGTTTAAAACTTAAGGACAACGGTCCTTAAGTTTGACTTGATGGCTAAAAAGTTATGAANAACAAAAAGAATCCCCAACTACGATATTAAGAGAAAATGCTTCTTGGATGAAATAAAAGTGGGATCAATATTTGACAAAAAGAAGAGTATAATTAACTGTTTTTTGAATATAGCAATTAAAGGACAGTTTGAATTCAAGGTTGTTAGATCAAGCTCAACAAGATATTCGTTGAAATGCAATGATAATAGGTGTGGGTGGTGTGTGCGTGCTTTCAGAGTTAAAGATTCAACACTGTTCAAGATAGTAAAGATTGAGAAAAATCATGACAGCTCAGTTAACACTATGAAAGCTGATTAAAGGCATGCAACTTCAAAGTTGATTAGTGATTATATTATTGACAATCTTCGAGACCCAAGGTTTGAAGTTACACCAGCTTTTGTCATGGCAGAAATGCAAAAACTGCATGGACTAGACATTGGGTATCACAAGGCGTGACGTGTTATTCAATGTGCTTCAGCTTTAATAAGAGGGACTCCTAAAGAGAATTATGAATTATTTTCTTCATACTTGTATATGATGAGAAGTAAAAACCCGGGAACATATACTAACATAAAGATAGACGATAACAACAGGTAAACAATCAAAAAATAGATTATTAGTCTATTTTATAAACTTTAGGACATGCTGTCTTTAACTTTGATGTGTGCAGTCAAAAAGTTAAGGACACTTGGTCCTTAACTTAGAGTTGCAAGTTAAAAAATTAAGGACATGGTGTCCTTAACTTTTGAACTTGTAACTCTAAGTTCAGGACTCCATGTCCTTAACTTTTAAGCTCGTAACTCTAAGTTAATGACCGCATGTCCTTAACTTTTGAACTTGTAACTCTAAGTTAAGGACTACATGTCCTTAACTTTTGAACTTGTAACTCTAAGTTAAGGACCAAGTATCCTTAACTTTTGAGCTTGTTAGTCTAACTTCAGGACTACCTGTCCTTAACTTTTGGGCTTGTAACCTGAAGTTTAGGACTACCTGTCCTTAACTTTTGACCTTGTTAGTCTAAATTAAGGATTACATGTCCTTAACTTCTGTTAACCTTCTGTTATATTGTATTTTCAGGTTTCTTTATATGTTTTATGCATATGGATCATCAATAACTGGCTGGAATAATTGTAGACTAGTGATTGCTGTTGATGCAACTTTTTTGAAGTCAAAATTTCATGGTGTTTTAATGATTTCAGTTTCAAAGGATGCAAATAACCAAATTTTTCCACTAGCCTTTGGAATTGCAGAATCTGAAAATAACAATTCCTATGAGTGGTACTTTAGTGAGCTTCGCAATGCAATTGGGAGCCGTGAGAATTTAATTTTTTTATCAGACAGGCATCAATCTGTTGCATATGGCATTGCAAAGATATATCCTGAAAGCCACCATGGGATTTGTATCTATTATTTGGAGCAGAACCTAAAACGAAGGAAGGTGAAAAGTGAGGTCATAAAACTTTTCCAAAGTGCTGCAAGAGTATACAGACGCAAAGAATTTGATCTATACATGTCAGATATAGCAAAATTAGATAAGAAGATTTATGACTACTTGATGGAAGAACCACCGGAAAGGTGGGCACGTTCTTGTAGTCCACGATGAAGATATGACATGCTCACAACAAAAATATTCGAGTCAATGAATTCTGTGCTATTAGAAGCAAGGGAGATGCCTATATTAAGAATGATGAATTTCATCCAAGTGAAGCTACAACGTTGGTTTTATGAAAGAAGAAATGAAGCAGAAGAAACTTTTTATGACGTTTCTTGTTGGGTAGAAGAGGAATTGAAGAAAAAGATAGATTTAGCATTTACTTTGAATGTAAGTATCATGTTCTTTGTTTAGCTTATTATTTTAATGATAATTTAACATAGTGTACTAACTTATAATTTTTCAACATTGAAGGTCTACGTTGTTGATTCATGGCGTTCTAGAGTTGAGGAAGAAGGAATTACTTTCTTGGTGGACTTAAACAAAAGAACATGTGATTGTTTTCAGTTTCAATTTGATGAATTACCATGCATACATGAAATTGCAGCTATCGAGAAGAGAAACATCAAGAAGTATAACTTTTGCTCGCACTGGTACTTAAAGGCTGATGAAAGACAAATACATCCTGTAGGACATACTGATTCTTAGATTGTACCATAGATTGTTAAGTCATAAATTATTAAACCTCCAGATTTCAAAGTACCACCAGGTAGAAGGCAGAGAAAAGGCATATTCCAGCTACCGAGTCATCAAAAATAACATTCAAATGTGGTCGTTGCAGAAGAATTGGCCATAATAGAACAACTTGTATATATTCTCCGACAGTCCATCCATTTTCAAGGAAGCATAGAGAATAGTAGATATATCCACTTATGTTTATCTACTCTTTGAAGTTTTTGCTATAAATTGGATTCATTTAGATTGTTTTTATTTGAGAATATGTCCTGAATTTTAAAAGTTTCTTTTGCGCTTACGTGTTTTTTGTTTCTTTTGAGTTCCAAGTTCAAAAGTTAAGGACAAGCAGTCCTTAACTTAGAGTTCCAAGTTCAAAAGTTAAGGACACTTGGTCCTGAACTTCAAGTTTCAAGTTCAAAAGTTAAGGACACTTGGTCCTTAACTTTGAATTCCAAGTTCAAAAGTTAAGGACACTTGGTCCTTAACTTTGAGTTCCAAGTTCAAAAGTTAAGGACAGATGGTCCTGAACTTAGACTAACAAGTTAAAAAGTTAAGGACAATTGGTCCTGAACTTCGATTTCCAAGTTCAAAAGTTAAGGACAATTGGTCCTGAACTTCGATTTCCAAGTCCACATCTACGATTGTCACCCCACACATATGGTGTCAAAATCAATTGATTATCACCACACCAAAACTCATCTGTAGCATCTTCATTGAAATCCTTATATACAAGTAGCATATAGTTATCAAAAAGTATATATGTAGTTATGCAATGAAAAGGATGGGCGTGAGGGTGGTAGCATTCCTTCTTTCTCAAATAATACAGGGAAATGTCAATATGCTTCATAAAAATCCAAAAAAATGAAACAAATCCATCAGTCACAAATAATTAAAAAATAATAAATTAAGAATAAAGAAAATAAATGCCTTGCGAATTATCAAACCTTATCATCAAGTACAAAGCTACTATCTGAAAGCTCAAGGAAGAACATTTTGCTACAGATTTTTTGATGGTACAATTTATATGGATTCTTTCTCACACCATTATCGTCAGCATATATATCAGTTTATCCCTTGAAAATTTTGAAAATATCAAAGTTAGAAGTTAGTCCTCATTTCCTAATTAAGGACATCTAGTCCTGAACTTAGGCTAAGAAGCTCAAAAGTTAAGGACAATAGATCCTGAACTTAGGCTAAGAAGCTCAAAAGTTAAGGACAGGCAGTCCTTAACTTACACTTACAAGTTCAAAAGTTAAGGACAATAGGTCCTTAACTTAGACTTACACGTTCAAAAGTTAAGGACACTTGTTCCTCAACTTTGACTTACAAGTTCAAAAGTTAAGGACACTTGGTCCTGAAGTTTGAGTTTCAAGTTCAAAAGTTAAGGACACTTGGTCCTGAACTTAGACTTACAAATTCAAAAGTTAAGGACACTTTGTCTTGAACTTGGACTAACAAGTTAAAAAGTTAAGAACAATAGGTCCTGAACTTACAGTTACAAATTCAAAAGTTAAGGACACTTGGTCCTGAACTTCGAGTTCCAAGTTCAAAAGTTAAGGACAAAAGGTCCTAAACTTAGACTTAAAATTTCAAAAGTTAAGGACACTTTGTCATGAACTTAATTACAAGTTCAAAAGTTAAGGACAATAGGTCCTGAACTTACATTTACAAGTTCAAAAGTTAAGGACACTTGGTCCTGAACTTAGACTTGCAATCTCAAAAGTTAAGGACACTTAACTTTAGGAATTTCAAGCTTAATATACTTAGTCCTAAATTTGAAATTTCAAGTTCAGGACACGAATTAAACAATCAACAAATAATGAAATACATTTAGGGATTTATGCTTTTTTGTGACCTTTCCTTTTCTCCTTGACCAACCACCCAATGAATTTCTTCAATAAGTTTGCATCATCTTTGGCATAATGAAAAATACATGTACGAGTATATTTTGATTTTATCTAGCCCGTATTCTTGGGAGTATTTTCATTGTGCGCCATCGATGTTCCTGTTTTTCTTTCCAGTTCGAAAGGAGATTTCAATTGCCGATTAAGCTTCTTATTCCTTTTCCCTCAACCAAGCTCTTCTTCAACATTTCCTTCAACCTCCATAGACAAACCCTCATCAATGCTCATTTGTGTAGTTGGAGGAGTAGGAGTAAGAATAGAAAATGATGGACCATCAAAACCAATACTATCTCTCTTCCTTTTCCTAGTATATTGGTTAACGGCTTCATCTTTGTTTTGCTCTGCAGACAACACTACATATACATTAGTTTGCTGCAAGTCGTCAATACTACAACGAATTGTCAAATGAAGAGACAAAAACTAAGGACATAATTTTTGAAATGTACTGGCAATTTCAATTATGAATATAATATTTAGGACACAATCAATACTTGTGTTGTCCGTGCTGCCTTCTTGTACTTTTTCAACAGAAAATCGAGCTGACATATTGGTTGCATTTTCTTTATCTTGCAACTGTGCATTTTCTTTATCTTGCAACTGTTCTCCATGATCTTCGATTGCAAGTTCACAAGATTCTGCAAAATACTTACAAGAGCTAACACAATTAGTACTTGTTACTAATCTTTGATTAAAACAAACATGTATAAAATTAATAAAAACTCCGTCTAACCTTTTTCAACTGTCAAGATCATGCCAGTTAAATCATAATCTTCACTAGCATTTTCTTGGCTTCCAATATTGTCGGTAAGAGAGCGAGGTGTAGAGAGATCATATGTTCCTTCTATACATTTGCAAATAATCTCACTTATGCTTTTTCCTTGGGTATTTTCTAAGTCTTGAGATTGTCCTCCACTTCTCTCTTGATATTCCACTCCATCTTCTCCCTTGCAGCTTCAAAAGATTCTGTAACATTTACAATTAATACCCTTTACTAATAGTTTACTAAAACTAACATTCAACATATCATGAAAATTCCATCTAACCTTGGCATCATTTTGATTTCCAAATTTCTCTTTAAGTGAGAGAGGTATAGAGAGATCATATATTCCTTCAACACATTTGCATACAATCTCACTTACATGTTCCCAATGGATTTTCTAAATCCTGAGATTGCACTCCACATTTACAAATTGTTTCTGTTACTCCTGTCTTTTTTGGATTTTCCTGGTCTTGACATTCTACTGCATCTTGAACTTCCACTCCATCAATAGATTCTACACATATTTTTAATCACAAAAAAGTTTATATATATTATGCTATTGAATATAAATTTTAATGACAACAAATTCAAAATCTATATCTAACCTTTCCCAGTTACAGTGCCAATATCAATTTTATTTTCTAGATGCGCATCTCTATAATCGCTTTTGTAATGATTTTCTGCATGCACATCGGTATCATCACATTGATCATCACCTGTATCTTTGTTAATTGGAACAGTAGGTTCTATACCATCACAATGATGATCAACTGCATCTTTACTACTTGGAACACTAGATTCTCTCTCTATGTTCCTTTCATCAGGTTTGACAAGAATCTTCAACAATGTATCAATCTTTGATCCTAGGTTTTCTTTTAAATACTGTGAAAGAAATTAAGTTAAAAAGTTAAGGACAGGTAGTGATGATAGGCTATAATTACGTATTTTAGTCGCTTATTACACTCTAATTTACTGCACTTTAATTGAGTTTGAGCTTTAATCGCTAGTGTTTTGCACTAATGGTGTGTTTTATGCCTTGTAGGAGTGATTCTGAGCTATGTAGATGTTATGGAATGAATTCAAGTGATTTGGAGCTTTGAAGTCTGAGTAAAAGTTCAAGAAATTAAGCCGGGGTCGTGTTTGGGGGTCAACGGATGATAGTTAGAGCGAACGAAGACTCCAGTAGGCATATTGCGCATTGTCTAGTAAAATAGATATAACTTTTTGCTTAGAACTCCATTTTAGCTCCACAATATATGGTTAGAAAGCTAACTCAAAGGGATACAACTTTCATTTTTACGTTTTTCTAAATTCGGAATGGAACAGAGTGAAAAATGCGCGAACGCGCGAAGTTAGCGCTAAGTCGCGCGAGTTAAGGAGCTGGAGGCAGAATGTCATAAGTCATGCGCGAAGGATGCGCAAGCTTGCGCTAGAAACCCGGGAAAAATGTCCTTTTTCACATTGGAGAAGGTATAATTTTTTGGTCCCAACCCTACTTGGTATATATACATGGAAAAACGGTATTTTGAAGGGAGGAGGACGTTTTTGAGAGGAAAACACAAGCACAGAGCCGCCGTGGAGGCCGGGTTTCATCTTTTCTTCCACCAACTTAGTTTTTTTATGTTTCTTTGTATGATTTGTTGTTTGGCTACCATGTCTATGTGGATATAAGCTTCACGTTCTAGGATTGTGGTTCTTTCATGACTATTGTTGTTCGGATATTGATTTTGATTTCTTAGTTTATAATATTGGTTTATTTATTTAATCCTGCACTTAATTATTTGATTGCTTGATCACCAATTAAATACTATCTATGAATCTAGAGTTGAACTCGAAAGTGGGAATTCTAGATTGCATATAGGATTGAGTAGAGCAAGTTCTTGAACCTGGGCATCGGGGAACGGATTCGCGGTTAGGATAGACATATACCTAATTGCCTTGCTTGGTTGATTTACAGGAATTATAAATGCGTTCTTGTTGATTCTCACTCCATAGACATATAGGCGTTAGGTTAGCTTGAATAGGCGAGTAAGAACTCGACAGATTCTTATGAGCAATATTAACCCTGTCAACCAATAAACTCGATAAATTAGTTAGTCAATTCAATTAAAGAATACAATAGGAATGTTAGATAGCCCATAACCCTAGATCATTTTCATTACATTGATATCATAAAATTCTGCTCTTTCTCTCTGTTAAAAGTTTATTATTTATATTCTTTATTTAATTAGTTTAGAACCAAATACTTCTAGGTTTAATTCTTGTATAGATAATTAGGATAGTCTAATTTAGTTTATAGTTAATCACAA